CCCCCATGTGTAACACCTAATGCTCATCCCAACAAGTGTCTTCCTTGATGCTCATTACCCATTTAGCCCATCCCCCTTCCAGCAACCCTCAGTTGGTTCTCCGTACTTAAGAGTCTCTTATGTTTTACCACGACCTCTCATTTAACTGGGTTCTCCAAACAGCAGCAACTTGTAAGCGGATTCTACAAATGGAAGGTGCCAGTGTAGTACTGGGACCTCACACCAAATCAAGATCATTTGGTGTAGAAGAAAGATCTTCTCTCTTGGTATAAAAAAAAAATAATAATTACATTCAAAAACTATTATTATGCTAAACATGCTTTTAAAAAGTTTAATCCTTGGGGCGCCTGGGTGGCGCAGTCGGTTAAGCGTCCGACTTCAGCCAGGTCACGATCTCGCGGTCCGTGAGTTCGAGCCCCGCGTCAGGCTCTGGGCTGATGGCTCAGAGCCTGGAGCCTGTTTCCGATTCTGTGTCTCCCTCTCTCTCTGCCCCTCCCCCGTTCATGCTCTGTCTCTCTCTGTCCCAAAAATAAAAATTAAAAAAAAGTCGAAAAAAAATGTATATATAAAATAGCCGTCAGTAGAAATTTGTGAAACCCTAGAACTGCAGCCCAGAGACATTTCATTCCATTTGGTGCTAAAACTCTGCAAATCACAATGGAAGTAAATCTCCTGGGTCTGTAATTTAGTCATCCAGCTGAAACTGTCCTAAGAAGAAGGTGCAGAGAAGACTGGCGGGAGGGAGAATAATCATGATTTCCCTGAGTTCATATGTTAGGGCCTCCACATCGGATATAGGATAAAGGGGGCAGCGATTCAAGCTCCTTGGAAGAACTTACTGCAGAAGGAATAAGGAAGGTATCCTTCGTCCTGTGCGAAGACAGGAACAAAGAAGTAAGGGCTGTGACTTTGGCTCTAAACTATCTTGAAGGCTTTCCAGAAGCACATGGAACTCGAGAAGAGATGACACAAAAATTGCTTTATGATGCCCAGAAACCCTGAGGTGAATAAAGGTTTAAAACTGGAATTTAACTTTAACAAAGCAAGCAGTAATTGAAAACATGTGAGACAAGTGAGTGGTCATCCTTATGTATCTGTATGAAAACTGCCTCAGAGCTAGAAATGGCTTTTCAGATTACATAGTTTAGTGGCTTGATTATTGTAGCTACCAGAATGCTTTCTTTAGAAGAAACCTTACACAAAACACCATGACAAGACACTAGTGAAAAAGAAAAGAACAGTCCAGGCAAGAATGGAAGGCCCAGAGCTCACGTGCATGGCTCCAACCATTTCAAAGACCTCCAAGTTGACTCCACAGAACACAGTTGGAAAACCACTAATCTGGCCCAACACTTTCACTCTCCAACTGAAGAGAGAAAGAATGATTGATTGATTGATTGATTGACTCAGCGACATGCCCACTGTCATGCAAGTAGAACCAGAATTAGAAGTCAGTGCCTCAAAGTCCTGCTTCAGCATTTTACCTGTAACACAACTCTGCTTGCAAAGGGATCTCTTCATAACTTGTTCAAGAGCCTATTTTTTCTTATTATGAATATATAAATGCATCTAATTCATATGTGTGCAATGTTTTAAATATTTTTAGAAGTTTCTTTTGAAAAAATATCATGGATATTCATGACAAATATTTTGAGTCTCGAACATTCCTGTACCAATCGATCTCAGCACTGCACAAAAAGATCCATCAATAAGTTGACACAGACATGATGCTGAAGAGGAAACCGTGGGCCCCAGTGGGGCTCACCCTGCAAATCCAACTTCTTTCAGTGTCCAAAATTGTTAAACTGAGTTACTGGAGATATTTACCACTTAACTAAAGAAATAAATCAGATTTCTTTCTAAAAGTAGATGGCAACAGCAGCAGAATAATATCTTTGACATACTGAAAGAAAAGTGACAACCAAAAAATTGATATTCATCCAAATTATCATTTAAGAGTAAAGACAACATAAAGACGCTCTAAGGCATATAAAGACTAGGAATGTATCACTCAAGGAACTGGTGTTTTTAAAAAAAAAGGAATTTAGCAGGAAAAAAGTGAACAAAGAACATGTGGAATTTGAGACAAATGTAGAACTTTTTTAAAAAGTTAATAATCCAATTAAATATTGGCTATAAAAACAGCAAATAATAACTCAAAATTACGATAACAGTCAACGACAACCCAGTAGGTACCTATGCTAAGACTCACTGTCATTGGAAGAAGGAAATACTGAATAACTACAGACTTTGGTTTTCTTAAAATGTGGATAAGTAAGAACCTTTAAGATTAAAAGTAACCTCTAAACACTATCAATGCAGTTTGCAGCTTCCAAATCATCTGAACAGAATATTAAAAACTGTGTCATTGCAACAAAAGGCAGGGAAGGGAAAGGAGAAATAAAGAAAAAAATAGTGAACAGAATACACAAGATAGTAGAACTAAGTTCAAATATACAAGTAATCATAATTGTAAATTAATTAAGTTCATCAACTAAGAGGTTATCATACTGATTTTTTAATCAAGCCATATGCTGCTTAGAAGAGAAACATCTAGGAAAAATAACACGCAGGAGAATGAAGATGAAGGGCTAGAAAAAGATATAGCCTTTAAATACTAGACAAATAAAGTTGATGTAACAATATTAATATCAGACAAATATATTTAAAGTTTGAAAAGAATTAATAAAAATAAATACAGTATATAATAATAAAAGACACAATTCAACATGAAGATAACAAACATGAAATTAGTATTTATCGTACCTTTAAAATATATAAAGCAGAAATTGGCAAAATTAAATGAAAAAACCGGTAAATTTAGAATCATCGAGGGAAATTAGTACTAGTTGGAAAACAGCAGCTTGGAAAGACAAAATTAACTAGCTTGATTAACTAGGTATAGAGAGAACCCCACACCACAGAAAGACCATATCATCTATCATGAAAACATAGAACGTTTACAAATATTGGCATGATACCAGGATTTTAAAGAACAAATATCATTCATACCATCTCTTCTGATTGTGGTTCATTAAATTTGAAAGCAATGTTGCAAAGTAGCAAAAACATAACAAATGTATATGTTTAGATATCTTAAAGTGAATTATCAAATAAAGCCTGAGTTAACAAGAAATTGCTACATATCAAAACATGTAGATGAAGCTAAATCACTCTTTAGAGACAAATTTATAGCATTAAATCCATTTACTAGAAAACTGAAAGAGTAAAATAAATGTTCAAGAATCTAGAATAACTGAAAAGTAAGCCTGAAGAAAATAATAAGAAGAAAATAATAAGATTGTCATAAAGAAACACAAACAAAGCAATAATAGAAAGGATAAAATTGAAAGGAGATTCTTCTAAAGAAAACTAATAAGTAGGGAGAGTTTTAGCAAACCTGATCAAAAATAAAAGAAGAAAGCAATGAAAAGGTACACAAAAATATACAGTAGAAGTTAAACATCATAAAAGAATGCTATGAATATTATGTAAATGAATTTGAAAACTTAAAAGAAATATATTTTAGAAAAATATAAATTTCTAAAACTGGCCGAAGAGGGAACAAAAAAGATGAAGAAACAAATAATAACTGGAGAAATTGAATTGGTAATCAAAAGTCCCTCAAATAAAGACACTAGAGCCAGAATATTTTACCAGTGAATTTATTCAAACTTTCAATGAACAAAGAAACAACAATAGCTTTATCATCCAAGCAGATACTGAAAACAGAAAAGGAGAGCAAATTATCCAACATTTTTTATAAAGTTGGTAAGATCAGAATACCCAACTGGTAAGTTACCATAAAAATGAAAGTGATAAATTAATCACTTCAATAAGCATGGGTGGCAAAATCCCAAATAAAATATCCAAAAATAAATTTCAGCAGCATATAAAATAATTATTAATAATTTTTAAAGTATCATGTCCAGTTAGATTTAATTCCAAGAATTCAAAGATGGCTCAATAGCAGACAATTCATTGATTTGTTCACCATCAAAAAATATATATATCAAAGTCATTTATTACATGGAGACATGCATGGGCTCGGGGTAGAGAAGAATTTCTTAGACATCATAAAAAAATACAAAACCAGGGGCACTTTGGTGGCTCAGTCAGTTAAGCGTCCAACTTCGGCTCAAGTTGTGATCTCATGGTTCATGAGTTCAAGTCTCAGGTCCGGCTCTGTGCTGACAGTTCAGAGCCTGGAGCCTGCTTTGGATTCTGTTTCCCCCTCTCTCTCTGTCCCTCCCCCACTCGTACTCTGTGTGTCTCTCTCTCAAACATAAAAACATTAAAAAAAATTTTTTTTAATCCAAAACCAAAAGAATGAATCAAAAAATTGACATACCCAATTGTATTAAAATTAAAACTTATGTTCAACAAAACCATGACATGATAAGTGAAATTAAAAGACAAGCCACAGTGTGAGAGAAAACATTTGCAAATATAACTGACAGATGATGAGAAACTAACAAATATAAAGAACTCCTAAAAATTCGTTAAGAAAACAAATTTTAAAAAAAGACAATTTAATGGGATGTTAGGAATGGAAACTGAACAAAGGATATGAATAGGTAATTCACAGAGAAGAAAACCAAAAGGCCGATAAATGTGTATAATCATGTCAAACTCACTAGTCGTCAGAGAGATACAAAATAAAAATAACATTGATATCATCTCACATACCTCAGATTGGCAGACATTTTAGTCTGACAAACAAAATTCTGGTGAGGATGTGGGAAAACGGGGCTCGCATATTCTACTGGTGAGAATGTAAATTCTTATCCACCTTTGAGGATATCCACACCCATGACCCAGAAATCCCACTCACAGCTATGCCCTAAAATAGTAGTGCCCAAATTTTTGTTTACCTCAGAACCCCTTTACATTCTTAAAATTATCAAAGGCCCCAAGGGCTTTTATATATGTGTTATATCAATAAATGTTTAGAAAATATAAATGATAAAATTTTCAATATTTATTAATTGTCCAATAACATACCTATTAACTATATTTTCCAAAACCAGAAAAAATTAGTCAGATTTCTGCAAATCTCTTTAGTATCTGGCTTAGCATAGCTGGATTCTCAGATTTTCTTCTGCGCAGTCCATAGAATTACATTGTTTTGGTTGAAATATGCATAGAAATTTTAGCCTTGCACTTAGAATAAATCATTTGTCCATGAATAATTTTGCAACATCGTGGGTTGATCGTTTGGAAAATACTGGTGTGCTGAGTTACACAGAATCTTCCAAATGTGGTCATACTTCATTACACAACATCAAAAAATAATGTTCTTTGTTAACATGATCACCAATCTCCTAAGTCTTTAACGATTAGGAAATGTTAGGCTCATTGTCACAAATTTTCCAAAATCCTAATTGTTGCTTGCAAACTAAAATTGTATCATTGAAAACAAACACAGCCAGTTGTTTTCCTTGAAGTAAAAGGATTGCTTCATTCATTTTTGAGGAAATGTCTACTAGATTCCCAATAGTTTATCTTCCCATCATTCTTTCAAGTAAAAATGGTGTTCCATGAAAATGTAGCTAGTTCAGCTTGTAACTTAAACTGTATCTCACAGAAGTGCTTCCTGTACACTCCCCGTTGTGCCACACGTAAATTTAAGAAGACGTGTACTCCAGAGTTGAAATGTAATCAAAATTTTCTTACATGCTAAAATCATTTTTTTTAATTTTTTTCAACGTTTTTTATTTATTTTTGGGACAGAGAGAGACAGAGCGTGAACGGGGGAGGGGCAGAGAGAGAGGGAGACACAGAATCGGAAACAGGCTCCAGGCTCCGAGCCATCCGCCCAGAGCCCGACGCGGGGCTCGAACTCCCGGACCGCGAGATCGTGACCTGGCTGAAGTCGGACGCTTAACCGACTGCGCCACCCAGGCGCCCCCATGCTAAAATCATTTTCTTAAGCACTTACTAAGTCCTTCACTAAAGACATTCTTAAATGAATGGCTTCCTTCTGCAAGGGCATGGGAGTGAAGGACAAAATAGCTATGTGTGCCATTATTTTGATTCGTGCTAAGGTTGCAATGGTTTGACCAATCATCGCTTTTCCCCCATCAGTGCACACATCCACACAGTCAAAAAGGCAAATAACATCTCTGTATTATTATGAAAATGGTTTCAACCTTGAAGACCCCCTGAAAAAAGTAACATGGAGCCCAGGGAGCCCACGGACCACACTTTGAGAACCTCTGCCCTAGGAAAACTCATGCATGTGAACCAGCAGGCATAATCAGTTCTGCATTATTTGTATAACAAACAAATTGGAAATGATCCAAATGTCTGTCAACAGGAGAATGGATAAATAAAATAATGTACGTTCATTCAATGCAACAATAGACAAGCATTTAATGCTGAATGAACTAAAGCTATATCCATCAACATGAATAATTCTTCACAACATAATGTCGAACAAAAAAAACAGTTTGCAGAAGAATAAGTAGAGTATTATACCACTAATAAAACATTTAAACTTTTGAAAACAATACTATACTATGCTAAATAGTATCATATGTTTTATTATTATACTATAGTAAAAGTACAAAAATATGCAGGGAAATGATAAATCCTGAATTCATGATAATAGTTTAGGAAGGAAAAGAAATAAGATTAAGGAGGAGTTTATAAGGGGGCTCAACTGTATCTTTTTTTTTTTCTTTTTCAGGTTTTTATTTAAATTCTCGTTAGTTAACATAGAGTGTATTATTACTTTCAGGTGTAGAATTCAGTGATTTATCACTTATGTACAACACCCAGTGTTCATCTTAATGTTTTATATGACTGAAAAATATATCTGCAGTGAGTAATATAACATTAAGGCTTAATAAAGACGTGTGACAGGTATATATGTAATCTTTACACTAACTCCTATCATGTGTGTGTGTGTTTGAAATCTATCATAATTTAAAAAAAAAATTTTAATGCTTTATTTATTTTTTAAAGAAAGAGACAGAGTACGAGCAGGGGAGGGGCAAAGAGAGAGGGAGACAGAATCCACAAAGCAGGCTCTAGGCCCCCAGCTGTCAGCAACAGAGCCCCACGTGGGGCTCGAACTCACAAACCACAAGATCATGACCTGAGCCGAAGTCAGACGCTTAACCAACTGAGCCACCCAGGCACCCTCTACGTTATAAACAATTTTTTAAAAATAAATTAATTCAAGGTATATTTTTTTTTAATGGAGCATCCTCGCTGCTTTTAAGGTCTCCATTAATAAATATTAAGTTGAATTAAGTTAATGCCCCTTAAATTTAGATGCAGAAAAGAATTAAAATTTTAAAAACAAACAAGTTATATTGACGAGGAATTGTCTTCAGAGTTCGACAACATTTCCCCACATCACCAGAGACCTCTACACAGCCAAGGAGAAATACCCTAGGACAATTACCAATATTTTGCATGGTTCCATAATGGATCCCAGCCCGTAGCTTGATTATTTGTGAAATTCACTATGGCTAATTCACATTGATGATTTGGGGTGGAGTGGGGAGGAAACGAATCATTTTGCAGGAGTGCAGTTGGGGAACGGGGGACGCCAGGGAGAAAGGGGCAGTATCATATGTGGAGGAAGGACCTAATGGCATAGATGAAAACTGCCACACTGTGTTTAAGCCCTGGAAATTTCTGCAAAAATATTAATGCAATTAATCTCTTTTTGTACTATAATTTAAATTCAGCGAACTTTAATCTTAAGTGTGAAGTCTAAACTCTTTCCTAATGAAGAAACTTTTGCATATATTGGTTTGCTACACATATTTCTAATATTTTGTTGTTAATGACATTATATTATATTCTTCAAATATTATTAATGACTCCTTGATTAATCAAAGGAAAGAATTAAGGAAAGAATAAGCAACCCTTTTGATTCTCTTATCTTTCTACTATCTCCCATTTCCTTATTAATAGGACAGTTCCCAGAATATGGGCAGAAAAAAGGGAAAGGAAATTAAACATAATTATAGGAATTTTACTAAGGAGTTTGACATGAATAGGAATTGAAAATATTAGATATTTTAATTTTATGGTAACATATTGATTTTATGTATTCATTCTGTTTTTACCCTATCCCAGTAGCTAACTGATAGTTAATTCTGGCATAAAGTACAGTAAAACCTTGGTTTGTGAGCATAACTCATTCCAGAAACAAGCTTGTAATCCAAAGCTCTTGTATATCAAAGTGAATTTCAAGAACCATTGGCTCAGCTGTGATCAAGTGACATTCGGCATCACCTACCACTTGTATTGCAAGACACCGCTCGTTTATCGAATTAAAATTTATTAGCAACGTTTGTTCATCGGGGCACCTGGATGGGTCAGTCGGTTACGTGTCCGACTCTCGGTTTTGGCTCAGGTCATGATCTCACAGTTCGTGAGTTTCAGCCCCACACTGGGCTCCGCGCTGACAGTGCGGAGCCTGCTTGGGATTCTCTCACTCCCTCTCTCTGCCCCTCCCTCGCTCTATCTCTCTCAAAATAAACAAATAAATAAAAATTTAAAAAAAAAAGAAATGTTTGTTCATTTTGCGGAACACTCACAGAACAAGTTACTCACAATCCAAGGTTTTATGTATCCCATCATATTTACAAATACTCTGCATATTATTTATTCCTCACAAACACCTTCCACCAAAAATGGAATACTGAAGGTGTGGGACAAATGGTGGTGATCTCTGCAATCTGGCTTAAACCATGTTATCCCTGACACTTCAATCAGTGTTGCCTTCCTGTTGATTACACTCCTGTCCCCACACTTCTCACCTACAGCAACTCAGGAAGAAACGGATTACGAGGGAGTACTGCACTACATTCAATGCATGTTAATGTATGTTAAACATGTAATTGTCAAACATGTATGTTAAACATGTAATTGTCAAGGTAGTAGGTATTTTAAATGACTTTTGCTGGACTTAAGGCTAAGGACAAAGATAAGCCACACACACACACACACACACACACACACACACACACACACACACACATACACAGAGCTGAAATTGAACCAGATAAAGCCTCAGGGCTTATTTAGAATCAGTCAGCCTAGTTTTTAAAAAATAAAAATAAAATAGGGATGCCTGGGTGTCTCGTCAGTTGAGTGTCAGACTCTTGATTTCAGCTCAGGTCATGATCTCATGATTCGCAAGTTTGGGCCCCGTGTTGGGCTCTGCACTGACATTGGGGAGCCTGCTTGAGATATTCTCTCTCTCTCTCTCTCTCTCTCTCTCTCTCTCTCCCCCCCCATCCCTCCCCTGCTCACATGAGCACACACACTTTTTCTCTCAAGAAAAAAATTATAATAATAAAAAATAAAATAAAATAAAATAAAATAAAAGACTAGTGAGGGTAGAGAAGGCTGAGAAAGAAATGCATAGTCTACCTAGGTTGGAAGAGTACCATGACTATTCCCTCCATAAAAAAAGGGGACCAAGATAATGTCTCATTAACGTTGGGTTTGCCTTCAAAAGGGGAAAACAGGCTTCATCTTACCCTGGTTGGGCATCTGTTCATGCAGTGAGTTCTGCCTTCTGTGGGTGGGGCAAGAATTGGAAAGACAACAGCAAGGCAAGAAGCGGGACCACCCAGAGGGGCAATCGGTTCCCCACCAGTGTGTGTGGGCAGATGCATGATTCTCCCTGTCCTGGCCCCAGAGAAGGGGACACACCTGAGCCACACTGCAGATGCGACATGCGAGGGCTAGCCTGACCACCCAGGCGACTTCCACTCTCAGCCAGACACCGTGGGGTGTTCCACGGATGCAGGAGCTGAGGGAGGGCTCTAAGGGGTCAAGAAAGAAATGACCTCCAAAAATCTGTGCAGTGGGGGCAGAGCTCTCTGCAGAATACATACTCCTAAAGGGAGCACACAGGGTTAGAAAAAAAAAGAAGTCAGCTTTAGCCTGTGGGATCAGCAGTAGCCCAGAGGGGACTCCAGCAGAGCCAGAAATCCAAGAGGGCCCTTGAGGGCTCTCCTGTCTTCCTCCACCCCCGTTCCAGAGGAAGGGGGTCACAAGAGTGCCAGAGGGGCCCCACCCCTGCCCACTGAAAACCCTGGGCCTAGGCTGAGGGGGCATAGGGTTTAGATGGGAGAGAGGGGGAAGAACACGGTCTCAAATGAACTAGTGTGGATTCTTAACTGAAAGAGATCAGAAATCCAAGAAATCTTCCCGGGATGCAATTAAGGGATAGGACTGGGAAAGTGAAAAAATAAATAAATAAATAATAAATAATAAAATAAAATAAAATAAAATAAATAAAACAAGGACTGACAGTATTTGAAATAAACCCCAACACATCAAATCACGTCTCTGTCACCCTCTGACCAAGTTCAGACTGCAATAGACAGGGTATGCATGGACTGATAGACTGCTGAGTGTTGGGAAATATTCGGAGCGGTGTGGAAAGGGGCAATTCAAAGGAATGAAGTAGAGGATGAGGGGAAATGAATCCGGGAAAGGGGAAGGGGGGGCCTGGGCTGAAGTGGGAGGAGGGAAGGAGAAGAAAGCAATGCTGGATGGTTCCTGCAAATAGGGCCGTTAGGTTGCATTAACACAGTCGGATGAACATTAGATAACCCAGCTGTTTGCTCCACTTCTGTGCTGCTCTGCTCTCCTGCATTCTACCTTCAGCCTTCAAAGAATAAACTACACTCAGTGCCAATCTTTATTTTTTTTTTTTTAACGTTTATTCATTTTTGGGACAGAGAGAGACAGAGCATGAACGGGCGAGGGGCAGAGAGAGAGGGAGACACAGAATCGGAAACAGGCTCCAGGCTCCGAGCCATCCGCCCAGAGCCCGACGCGGGGCTCGAACTCACGGACCGCGAGATCGCGACCTGGCTGAAGTCGGACGCTTAACCGACTGCGCCACCCAGGCGCCCCAGTGCCAATCTTTAAAACCAAGCTAAGTCGGAGCAAGAACAGCGGAAGAATCAAGACCAGCAGCTCTATGGCCGGAACACCCGAATCCAAATCCTGGCTCTTCCGCTCAGCAACCGGATGCTTCAGTTTCCTCATCTGTTTAATGAGGGTAACAACGGTACCTTCCACGGAGGGTGACTGACAGGATTCGATGAGGTTGCCAGAATAATACGTTCCATTCAGCAAAAGCGCAGTGGATGCCATCCGATGATTAACGAGTGCACATAACACCCTTTAAAAACTGAAATTGCAGCTGTCTACAACACTATCCTCATTGAGTTTTGGCTCCACTTAATGCCATGAGCTAATTCCCTCACGGAAGTGCAGCTTCTGAAGGAAAACATTAAGTATTTGTGCACAGGTGTTACACAAAACTCATACGGCAGCGAGAACTTTCTTGAGAAAACTTCCCGTTTAGTTGACTAAAAAGTTATGCACACGGCTATTTGAAACATGTTCAATACATAAAGCACGACCAAACACATAAATACATATATAATAGCCAATAACCTATGAACAGGTACAAATAATACACTCCCCATAAGTGTACATAATGAACACGATCCATAAATGGCCCTTCATTTTAACATTCGACTAAAACCATTTCCTTGCTAAGCCCATACCAAAGTCACTTGAATTATAACTAAGCACATAGTAGGTGCTGTATAAATCTCTGCTGAGAGTGATGAAACTTAATAAGTCCTGTCTATTCAAGCAGGGTTTGTTTTTTCTTGCCTCAATGAATGGCTTCTTTCAAACTAGTTTCTAAGTGTGTTTATCTCCTACATGAATCCCATTTAGTACAGGGCCACACTGAATCACTGTCATGAACAACCTAAGGGCAAAAGTCAGAAGCACCATTTATTTCTTGTTAAAAATAAAACTGCACCATGAATTTTGGACCAATCTCATGCATAAATACATATTTTGGGTGATTCAATGCTAGCATATCCAATTCAAATGCCACCATATTATAAAACCAACTGACTGCCATCATTCACTTTACACTGGCAATACCTGCAAGTTATTTCACACCTGTTTCCATTTTTCCTCGAATGGTAGAAACTGAAACCTGCTAATTCAACGTTTCAACGTTTATTTATTTTTGGGACAGAGAGAGACAGAGCATGAATGGGGCAGGGGCAGAGAGAGAGGGAGACACAGAATCAGAAACAGCCTCCAGGCTCTGAGCCATCAGCCCAGAGCCTGACGCGGGGCTCGAACTCACAGACCGCGAGATCGTGACCTGGCTGAAGTCGGACGCTCAACCGACTGCGCCACCCAGGCGCCCCGAAACCTGCTAATTAATACTCCTAACCCTAACCCCGCGAGTTCGAGCCCCACGTCAGGCTCTGGGCTGATGGCTCGGAGCCTGGAGCCTGCTTCCGATTCTGTGTCTCCCTCTCTCTCTGCCCCTCCCCCGTTCATGCTCTGTCTCTCTCTGTCTCAAAAATAAATAAAACGTTAAAAAAAATTAAAAAAAAAATACTTCCTTCTACCCACTCTCAAGCAAACTACTCAGAGCCTATGATTCAAGTATCACAAAATAGCCATCGCGCCACGATGCCCTGTTGCCTCCTTTAGGTGCTCAGCCTCAGTGGCTTGGGTCAGTACCTGAAAGCCCTCCTCAAACGCTTGGAAGCAACATATGTAAACTGATAGGTTTAATAACAAAACTGTACATCCGTAATCTGCCTACTGCACACATACAACCTCTTGTCATTTTTGACACATCTAAGTGTGGCACTTGTAAAAATGATATAACTCCAGTCTAGAACAAAATTAGAGAAGGGGACCTAGAATAAGAGAACTTGAAAGTGATATGCAGGTTATGCCTATAAGATTGGAGTGGATGATAGAAGATATAGATGAGATAGATAGATGAGATAGATGACAGATAGATAGATAGATAGATAGATAGATAGATAGACGGATAGATAGATAGATAGATAGATAGATAGATAGATAGATAGATAGATGAATGGAGGGAGAGAGGGAGGGAGGGAGGGAAGGAGGGATGATGGAAGATATAGATGATGATGATGATGATGATAAAGATTGACTGAAAGATGGATAGATGGATAATAGATAATATCTAGAAATATTTTTAGATGGAATTAACAGATGAGAGGCACATGGCTAAAAGAAGAATCAAAAAGCCTAAATGTATTACAAGTCAACTCAAAAGTATTGACAGATTGAGCTCTTGAGTCATGAGAATGCCCACATAACACTAACAACAATGTTCATTCACCAAGTGTTTACTCTGTTACAGGCATTGGGCTGAGCGTGTCACCGATCTCTCCGTATGGATTATGTCCACACCTCAGAATCTTTTCAACGGTACGAAGACTCAA